TTTTGAATTTTTTTTGTCTTTTTGTGATTATTTAGCCAAATATGATAACCAAACACCACCTAACTATCATGTTGACAATGCATGAATGCTGATGGAATGCTCATAACAATTTAGATTTTAGTTATTTTTTTGTTTTACTTTTTAAGTGAATTTTGAACAAATGTAATAAATTCTTATTTTTATTACTTTAATTATGCAATGTCAACATTTTCTTTCAAAATTACATATATTTTATACTAACAATTTATAAATATGTTTGACATAATATAAATAGTTTTTTTAAAAAAAATTTAATCCCGTGCATAGCACGGGTGATATGCTAGTATAAATTAATGGAAAGATGTGTTTAGTATCTTAGAGCATTTCCAACCCTGAACTTCTTTTGTCATCAAATTTGATGAAAAAAATGATGCTTTCCTCAATTTAATACCATTGACTCCGATGCTTCACTTTTTATCAAATTTGCTCCGGGGACAACCGGTTGGTCGACCGGTAAGAGGAAATTTTTTTTTTTGAACTGTTTGAACCAATTTTTTTGAACTGTTTGAACCCTGTGGTGGTCGACCGGTAAGGAAATTTTTTTTTTTTTTAACTGTTTGAACCTTTTGGTGGTCGATCGGTTGGTCAATCGGCTGGTCGACCGGTTCGTCTCCCTCAACGGTCATGCATAGTGTTTTGGTGAAATGCGGAGCCTGTTCTCACTTTGGTGAAACGTTTGGTAAATTCTCGATTTGATATCAATTTAGTGAAACCATTGGAGCTCCAAACAGTGCTTTTTTCACTAAATTTCAAATTTGATGACAGGTTTGGTGAAGCGTTGGAGATGGCCTTATATGAATTCGTTTTTAAACTTCAAATTAATGACTTTATATCAATTTAATTCAAGTTGCTAATCTTAAAATCATGTTTGATCTCCCAATAAACATATAGATTGCCTTATAAACCTTTATTATTGAATCTGTTATAGAAAAACTAATAATAATAATAATCGGTGTGTTTGGTTTGAGTTTTCTGGATTAAATTTTTTGAAAATTGAGTTGTTTGATTTTCGTATTTTTTTATTTTTAGTGAATATTTTTAAAATTTTAAACATTTTTTTTTTTACTTTTTTAGATGTACCTTATTTAGATATATCTAAAAAGTAAAAAAAATGTGAAAAAATATTTAAAAAAATTAAAAAATACATAAAAATATAAAAAATGTACTGAATTATTATATTTTTTTTTGTATTTATGGTATTTAGTGAATTTTTAAAAGATTTTTTTTACAATTTTTTTACTTTTTAGGTATATTTATGTTAGATGTGTCTAAAAAGTAAAAAAATTTGCATAAAATATTTAAAAAATTTAGTAAAAACAAAAAAATACGAAAAATAAGAAAGTAGAATTTTCTGAAAACTGTTTTTAAAAAAATGGAATCAAACATAGTGAATATTGTATGAAATACAAAAAATATGTTTAGTCCATATTTTGGTGTTATTATTGCAATATTATGTGTCTATGACCTTAATGAGTTTTAAGCATGTTCAGCTCAAATAAATTATAAAATGAAATTATAAAATGAAATGAGCTGGAGTTGTTATCCTACCCTTACACTAAAAAATTTAAATTAAAAAAATCCTTCATTCTAATTTAAATTTTAATGCCTATTAAATTAATTGGATTAAAAGACTATAATACCCATTTGAGTGAGTAAAGCATAATAGAAGCCAAAATGTTTACATTCTCATGTTTGGTACGATAGAATGAAATGAGAGTGAGAATGGAATATAAGATTGAAAGGAATGGAATGTCCATTCACATTCCATTTTTTGGTTGCAAACATGGAATGATATAGGAATAGGATAATAATTCACATTCTCATGTTCAATTATATATATTAAACTCATGGAATTTATTTATTTATTTTTTAAAAAAACTAGTAAAAAATAAATTAAAAATTTATATAGATCATGATAATATTGATAATTGTGAAAGTGATGTTGTGAATCGTAGTGGTAGTGGTGGTGGTGGCAGCAGCATTGGTGGTGGTGATAGCTGACCTTAGTGGTAGTAGTGGTGGTGGTGGTGGTAGTGGCAGTTGCAACAGCCAACGATAGTGGTGGTGATAGTAGTTGCAACATTGTAATATGGTAGTGTTGTGGTTGTGGCGGTAGCACTGATAACGATAGCGATAAAGTAGTGAAAATGTTGAAAGAATGAATAGACATTCTCACATTTTGTTAGAATAGTCATTTTAATAAAATAACTATTCACATTGAAGTAAGGCATACCAAACAAGAGAAAGAGAATACAAAATTAGAAAGGGCATTTCATTCCAACCTATTGCATTGTACTAAACATACTGTTAGGTTAGAGGAAAGAATAGATATTTTCACATTTTATTGGCATAGCGATTCTAATGAAATGACTATTCCCACTTAAATAAGACATAAATAGTTACTATATGTCTCTACTTTTTTATTTTGGCCCTCTATTTCTTTTAACCCCACCGACATATTTAAAACTCATATTTTCTTTTTGAACTCCCACCATAATACAAACTATATCCTTATCTTTGGACACCTAACTCTTTTTCTTTTTTTTCGCAGTGGACCCTTGCTATGGTTGGTGGCTGCCAAGCTTGACTTGGTTGGTTGCCTTCCCATGTTTTTCATGCATGTGGGTTGGAACAACAATTCTCCCCCTCCATACCCATATGCATGACTGACTAACCCAACCCCCCTCTCTCTCCCTCTCTCACATCCTATACCTTCTTCTTTTTCAGATCCATGCTCCGAATCTGAAACATGTGCTTTCCAAAAACCCAAGATTCCAACACAAAGCCTCCTTACCTCTGGTGACTACTTTTCCTCAGACCAATCTCTAACCACCAATCCAGATCACAAAAATCCCAGATAACCCAACCCATTAATTTTACTCATCCTCAAACCACTCCAATGGCTCCAAATGCTCTCAAGCCAGTTCAACCCGAGCTTCGTAGTCGGCGTAGTCCTCATCTACAGCCCTAACCATGTTGCAATCGCAGTGCGCGCGCAGAGAGAGAGAGAGAGATGATGTTGGGTGGAGATGGCAATGGGTGGTGATGGTGGTGGTTAGGGATGGGTTAAGGGTAGCAATGCAGTGGAGAAAGGACAAAAAAGAGAGAGATCACCGGAAGAAAGGTCAGAGAGAGAGAGAGAGAGAGAGAGAGATTGGAGGTCGAGATGATGCTGGGCTATGGCGATGGTGGGTGAGAATGGGATGATAGGTGGCCGGGGTGGTGGACGAGGGTCAAGGGGAGATTGGGGGGTTGGGCGGAGACGGTGGCAAATGGCGGCAAGAATGAGCTGAGGAGCGTTATCGGAGTGCATCGCCGGAGCTTCAGTGGGGGCTGTTGACCAATGTGTAATCACTGTTAGGGTTATGGTTTGAAAAATTAGGAATAAAATGATAGAGATGAAGGTAAAAATATAATTTTATGCTTGGACAAAATTAGAATTAAAAATAAATAAAAGAAACGAGGGGTTGAAAGAACAGAAGTGAGTAGGGGTGAGCATGGTCCGGATTGGAATAAAATCAGGACCAATTCGTTTTCTACGGTTTCTAAAATATTAGAACCAATCCAATCCGTTTAAATCATGGAACCAATCCGAACCAATCCATTTAAATACAGATTGGATCGGTTTAGGACCACGGATTCACATAATTAAATAACAAAAATATATTTATAACACTTTAATTTTATAAAAATATAAACATAGCGCTATATTAGTTCCACAATAGCAACATATTTTTCTATAATAGCGACATACTGTTCTAAAATTTAAACAACCATAAGAAAATTGGTTTCACTATAAGTATTTAAACCATTACAAATTAAAACTAAAAATCAACAAACAAGAGTAATAAAAGAAGATATTATACGGTTTTAGGTTTGAGTTTAGATTTTATATAGAATTAAGAGAAGATACTATAGAGGAGGATGTATAATAAAAATATAGACTATTTGTATACGGTTCGGATCGGTTCCAATCCGGAACCGTGAGATTCAATCCGGAACCAATCCGTAAACTACGGATTTTTAATTCTTCAATCCGGAACCGAACCGCGGATTCAAAAAATCAATCCAAACCTATCGAATTGGACTGGACTGGATCGGATTACGGATTTCACGGATTGCTTGCTCAGTCCTAGAAGTAAGTGCCTCTAAGGCATATAAATAAGAAAAAAGAGAATACAAAATTAAAATATACATTTCATTCCAACTTATTACATTGTGAAAGAGAGAAATTAATGTAATTGCTTGATTTTTAGTTTTTTAAAACACTTTTCAAAAAATTCAACTTTCTTATTTTTTCGTATTTTTTTGTTTTTACTAAGTTTTTTTAATATTTTAAATAATTTTTTTACTTTTTAGACACACTAAATATAAATACATCTAAAAAATAAAAAAATTATAAAAAAAATCTTTTAAACATTCACTAAATATCAAAAATATAAAAAAAATATAAGAATTCAGTACATTTTTTGTATTTTTATGTATTTATTAATTTTTTAAAATATTTTTTCACAAATTTTTTACTTTTTAAATACATCTAAGTAAGGTGCATCTAAAAAAGTAAAAAAAAAATGTTTAAAATTTAAAAAATATTCACTAAAAATAAAAAAATACAAAAATTAAAAAAGTCAAATTTTAAAAAATTTAATCCAGAAAACTCAAACCAAACACAGTGAATAGTATTGAAAATACTTTTCTATTTCCAAGATGGGTCTATAAAAAATGCAACAATGATTCATCCCACTAAAAATATCACCACTAATAGCACTAATGCATTAAAAAAGTAAAAAAAATAAAAAAAAATACAACTCCAAGACCAAAACATCACATCATTAATGGCGGGACCCACTGTCACCTAATAAAAGTAAAAAAAAATGTTTAAAATTTAAAAAATATTCACTAAAAATAAAAAAATACAAAAATTAAAAAATTCAAATTTTAAAAAATTTAATCCAGAAAACTCAAACCAAACACAGTGAATAGTATTGCAAATACTTTTCTATTTCCAAGATGGGTCTATAAAAAATGTTCTTATTTGGGACTACTTCCGTAAATACATAAAATATCAAGGGCATTATGGTATATAAAATTGATAGAATCAGAGTGGGTCATTCCAGGCCGTGAAAGAAACAGAGACACTCTCCGGACGCAATCCAGGAGTTTATTTGTTATCTACTCTCTCTCTCTCTCTATCTCCCTTGATATTATTTCTTGTGTCTAATTGTTCGTCAATTAGGGTTTAGCAAATTATTCGCAACAAATTGAAGAAGAAGAAGAAGAAAAAGCAATGGGTCCTGATTCGATCTTGAACGCTTCTCTTCCTGCTCTCTCAAAGGACCTGGGGAAGAAAAAGAGGGTACACACATTCTCGCTCTATCTATATTTGTAATGTGTGTATATATATGAGTGTGTGAGTTTATATTTATGTTGAATTGTTTTTGATTTTTCGTTTTTTTTTGTGTGTGTGTGTGTGTGTGTGTGTGTTTTCGTTGTTTCTTGTTCTGTAGACGAACAGATTGGCGAAATTGAAACAGAGCAAGCTTGATGTTCGTCGTGAGCAATGCCTTTCTCAGGGTGCAGGTAAATTTCTCCTTGTTTCTTAGGAAGCATAATATTGGAATATTTGTGCAAAACATAAAGTGAAATTTTGATTGTTGATCAGGAAAATAAAATTCATTCTTAATGCCTCTTTGGTTGATTGGAAATTTAAGGACAAAGAATAAATAACTGCAGATGAAAATTTGAATTACGGGGGTGAGAATTGGATTGTTCAAACAATTTTACTGCTTGTCTTAGTTGAGATTTCAATTGTTGGAAGCACATAATAATGACAATACACATATCCCGGCCCCTCCTAGGATAAAATATTGGCTCCCTCCCTATGTGGGTGTGAACATATGATCATCCCTATATCCCACAGTGGTGGGAACCTTAAGCATTGGGCTACCCTTTTACTAAGTTTATTGGTTCAAAACGAATGAGGAATTAAGATTTTGGTTGTTGAGTTGCTTAATGATTATTTCTAAAGAATGAATCAATCAGGAGTATTCACGTAGGTAATGATACAAAATGGCGACATATAGCATTTCTTGTATTGAAAATGTCAGAAAGTGTAATAATTGGATGTTGATTCTTAAGTTAATCATACTTTTGAGTTGCTTTTGTTGGAATATGTTTTGGTTTTGTGACAGATGCTGTGGTCTAATGAAAGAAGTGGATTTACCGGGTCGGTGATTTAGTTCCCTTAGAATGCAATGACCTGTGATAAATATGACATTGCATAACCTGTGACTGTGATAAATATGTCTTGGTAAAATCATATCGAGAAAGAATTGTGTTTCTAAAAGGCAGGTTTCAAGTACTGTTTTAGATTGGCTTGCATATTTCAAAAAGCACTAAATAAAGCTGGGATTGCAATGCAGTCAAGAATGAGGCATGTAAAGCGGATTCAAATGATAGGGGCAGATCTCCTCCCGCATCATTGCAGATGGCTTATGAGGGGAACAGATCAAAAGAGAATATTAAATTGAGGTCTAGAGAGGTGGATGCTGAAGGGTCAAGTTTTCATGAAAGTGATATGGACTCCCTGATGAGCTCCTCTGTTAGCAGCAGTTTGGGTCAACACGATTCAATGAAGGATCTTCCTGGGACCAGTTGCAGCAGTGCCAGCAGCATGTGCTTCTCCAGAAGTGTCAGTGAAGCAGATGAAGATGATGGTTGCTTGGACGATTGGGAGGCTGCTGCAGATGCTTTATCAGCCGATGAAAATCAAAATTTAGATTTACAAGCAGGATTAAAAACCAAGATTGTACTTGCTGATCATGAATTACCTAAGAAGAATTGTGGAGTCAATGTCATAAAAATAGAGAGCAAGGTAATGGTCCCCAGGTCTCATTCGAATGACTTGAATTGTCGAGCATGGTGCCCTGATGATGCTCTCCGTCCTCGGGGTCTGCCCAACCTGTCAAAGAAGCATACTTTAACCATGAATTCAGAGTGGCTTTGTGGCCATGGAACCATTGCTCGTGGGTGGCAAAGTGTCCTGTCTCAACCTTCTCCGTGCCCTATATGCTATGAGGATTTGGATGTTACTGACTCTAGTTTTCTTCCATGTTCTTGCGGATTCCGGCTTTGTCTTTTCTGCCACAAAAGGATTCTTGAGGCAGATGGTCGATGTCCAGGCTGCAGGAAGCATTATGAACAAATGGCAGCGGATGTAGGCTTTAATGGAGGTGTCACATCTTTTTGTACAGGTCAGCCTTTTAGTATGAGTACAAAGTCTTAGAAACATAATTTTTTTTGGTTTATAGAAATATCATGTAAACGGAGTCTCTCATCTATGGCTTATGTGTCATCTGTGTTTTTGTTCCTTTTTAGGGATCCGATAATCGTTGTGGAAGATGTGATTGTAGTGAAGGAGTCTGAAGCATTTTTTGGAAACAGATTCAGACTTTTAATGAAATCAATTATTTCTTATATGATGTTTTGATCATTTTTCTGTAAAAAATTATGTAGCTATGTGAATATGTGATCAAGTTTCTCTCAATGGAGTTTCCTTGATGCCTTTTAATAAAGTTGGTTTATTTATCCAAAAAAAAGAAGTTTCTCTCAATGGAGTACAATATATTTTTATTTTGTTTGTTTATTAATTTTTTCCCCTTTCCATTCTTGTACTTTGTTTTCATAAACTTGAAGTTTAAATACCATTTTGCATTGTACCGTTAATGTAACTGTCTTGATACTTGTTATCACGGATACATCATTCCTTTACAAATCCCTTGCAATGTAGGTTGCCAGATCCACCGTTAACAAGGTGCAAATTTATTCTGTTAGTTAAGATGTTTTACATATTTATTTGCTCCTTTTAGGTGGTGGGATGTCTTTTCATGTTTGTTTCCCATTTTTAACATGATGACATCATTGTTTTTGTGAAATTTTCTTTAATTCTTCCCCAATTATGTGTCCTACCATATATTTACTTATCTGGTTTTAATGTTTTGACTAGGAACCATATGACTAATAGAAATCACTACTCACACATCTTACTATGTTTGACTTTGGTTTTTATTGTCTCATATCAACATTGTTTTTTAATATATCTGGTTTGTAGATGCTTTTTACTATCTGAGAACCTTTTCAGGCTAAAGTATGTCTATCTCCGGTTATGTTTTTTATTTTACTGTATGAATTGTTTTAGGAACATTTTATGGTGAATTCTAATTATGTAGGCTATCTAACTGAAATAGTAACGAGGACAAAGAATTGCTCAACTTTTGAACCTGTTTTGCATGTTAGTCCTTGATTTGGCAGACTCTGTTCAAGAAGCTACAAGAAAGAGTGTCATTTGAAAGGAATGTTGCAGTGGCTGCTTATACTATTAAGTTTTTGTTTTGTGATGAATTCTCAGCAATTTTATGTTTCTTGAAGCAAAGACAGCATTTGGGAGAAAGCACAGTGATGCAGATGGAAGGAAATAAATTCATGTTGTAATATAGCAAGAAGGCATTTATAACATATCTCTGTCCTTATTGACTTGGGAAGTTTGAATGGATTTTCCACGCATGTATCTGTATCAATTGAGTGAATGTGCTGTGAACATTTGCTTGATAGAAGCTGGACGAAAAGGAAAGTGCTTCTTTTTTTTTGGTGTCAAAAGATCCAAGAGAAAGTACATTGACCATCGGTTCATTGGCCTCATAACCTTAAGGCAATGGATCCAAGTTTCGGAACAAATACTTTATGCACTATGCCAAAAGTTAGGTGTGTATCTAATCTTTCTCTTTCTAAACACACATTAATTTGTTAATATATTAATTGGGTGTTGCTTTTTCTTTATCCAAGAGAAAGTACATGAAGGCATTGCAATCAAAGGTAAACAACACTTTTTGTATAATTAAGCCTTCATCTGGACTCAAATCCCGTTAGATGACAGGGTTGGCAAGGTATAAGCAACAGAAAGGGGGCAACCCAGTGTGTGCAGCCTTACCCATTTCTGGTTTTAGATATTCATATATGTATATATATTTTGGGAAAAAATTTATTAGGAATACAAAATTTTGAACTCTATATTTGAAATTTGTTTGTCTTAATCATTGCCTTGTGCTTCTCAATGTTGTTTGCATTTTATTTCATGCCAACTGGTTATCCTAGTGCTGGATTTCCCATGAACACTTTTCAATGTATTTGAAGGGTATTGGAGTTTAGGTGAATACTCTCATTCACGAGCAATCACTTTCCTTTTTTTTCGCCTTTGTTTATTTGCCATTATGCTTACTGAATTTTTTCTGACTTCCCATTCAAGTATTGAAGTTGCAAGTGTCACCCAATTCTATCAACTATAAGCAGCCTTTCTCTTCTCTTATGTGGCTAACTTGATCTGTGAACGCAGATGTTCGGTACCAAGGTTAAAGACAAGAAGCATGAATGAAGATTTTAGTTCAGCCATTACTGTATTTCTTCGTGTTGGTTATGCTAGGTGATTTGTCAGTGTTTCACTTCGTGGCTTGCTCGCACTAGTGATTTTAGCAATATTGAATTACCCTTTTCTTGCACATAAACAGTAAACTTATTCCATTTCATGAAAATTCTTATCCTCCTTATCAACATATATATGTTCTCGGTATTATTAATTAGTTTGATGCCACTCTTATGAATTATTTGGATGGTTAAAATTAATTTCATGTGTGTCTTATTATATAAGAATAGATCCCAACCACGCACAAATTTTCTAGTTGAATTTCTGATTTAAATTCCTGAATTCGACTTTTCATACAAATTTTTTTTTTCTTAGGAAAATTGTTGGTTAACGATTCAAGATGGATTTTTGTCTGGTAATGCTCTCTGATTCATCACGTGCTTGCCACATGTAGAGGCTCTGCATTCGTTGTGTGTTCTCCGCCGCCCCATCCCCGCTCTAGAGATTTACAAATGAATTTCGTTTTTCCTCATCGGCCAATGTTTTGTTTTGATACTGTCAAAACTTGTCTACTCGTGTCCTGTTTTTTCATTGTAAAGAGGGATCACATATTTTAAAAATTAATGGTCTTGCTTGGTTACATTTTTCTAAAAACAGTTTTCAAAAAATTCTACTTTTTTATTTTTCATGTTTTTTTGTTTTTACTGATTTTTTTTAATATTTTATGCAAATTTTTTACTTTTTAGACACACCTAACATAAATACACCTAAAAAGTAAAAAAAAATTGTAAAAAAAATCTTTTAAAAATTCACTAAATACAAAAAATACAAAAAAATACAAGAATTTAGTACATTTTTTGTATTTTTATGTATTTTTTAAATATTTTTTAAATATTTTTTTTATTTTTTAGATACATCTAAGTAAGGTGCATCTAAAAAAGTAAAAAAAAAATGTTTAAAATTTTAAAAATATTCACTAAAAATAAAAAAATACGAAAACTAAAAAACTCAATTTTTAAAAAATTTAATCCAGAAAACTCAAACCAAACACACTGAATGTTATTTATTAATTTTTAACAATTTCATGGTCATAATACTTTCAAAATGTCTAGAAAATCACATGATTAAAATTCTTCTTATCAAACTAAATTTTGTTGAAAAGATTAATGTGTTTTTTCGGCACATTCTATATATTTGGTATGTTTTGATTTTTGAAAATAAAATGAAAAAAAAAATTAACTTTAATTGAAGTAAAAGTCTATCATCGTAATTTTATTATTAAAAAAATATTACTATACACATCTTCTACTATAAAGAAGGTAAAACTACGGATGATAAATTTCTTATAAAATTTTGTAATTATATTCTGTACGGGGAGGAAATAATTCTCCTCGTATAATCCTGTTGACCAAGTCCACGCTCCTCCGTACGACGTCGCTTTATCACCTGAAAACACAAACGTGAGCTAGCCGGCGGGTGTGTGCCGGAAACCTCTCCGATGCCTAAGTCAGTAAGCTTGACAAATAGACAAAGATTTATGCTCTCAAAAAGGTTGTGTTCAATTACCTCCTCCAAGGTGATGTTTGTGAGCTTTTATAAGTTTTCCGTGGCACAATCCTAGTAGGACTTGTACTTCTCCATGCAGAGTCCTCCTAGGATTCATTCTCCTAAGGATAATGCTTATCCTTTTACACCCTCCCCCACTGCTTAAACCAAGTGGGATGGTTTTCTTTATGGCCGAACTTCCATTTGACCGAAGTAAAATTGGCTATACCGAGCCACAGAGGGTCGAACTATCCTTAGCTCGGTCTTCTCCTCTAACTTCTTACTTCGGCTGCCCCTGTTCAACCTTGGTGTGCTTAGATCAAACTTCCAAATAACAAGTTCTGACCGACCTAACCATTGTAAGTCACGACCGGACTAATTCCGAAACCGGCCTTCCCAGAGCATACTGCGACCGGACTAACTCTGAGACCGGCCTAACTCCGAGGCTACTCCGGACCGGAGTAGCTTTACTCTTCCTTGGGCCGACGCATCTATCTCTTCTTGAGCCGGAGTAATCTCACCTCCTTGGGCCAGAGTATCCATTACGGCCTTTTTACTTAGTCCTTTGCGTTTTGGGCCCCAAAGCCCAACTCGAAGCTCGGCCCAATTTTTCACAAAAATTATCCTCTCAATTGCCCCTTAATTCCTATCTGCGCAACATGATTGGGATTACCAGTCTACTGGCCGAGCTAGGGTTTATTAAGCTTTTTCAGCCGAGCTAAAAAACCCTTTAGCCTCTCCAGCCGAGCAAAAAAACCCTCAGGTTCTCCAACCGAGCTAATTTTACCTCGGGTATCACTATGTCCGGTCAAAACGTCTCTTCAATCACAGCGACTGTAACGCTTCCCATTCATATGACACGTGGCATGTTTTGGTTGGCTAAGGACGGCTGTCACGCCGTCTTCGTGCTTCGTGAATTTGAAACAGTTCCCGCCCTTTCTGCTTTTACACAGGACAGTCCCTTTCATTTTTCGACTTACTCACTCTATTGCTGTTCATCTTCTCTCTCTGAGCCTTTGCTTTTTAAACTATTATCAAGCTCGTGTTTCTTCGTTTGCTGTGACCGTTCCATCTGTAATTCTGTTGTTGTTCGCATTCAATTTCTTGTTATGAGAATTTTATGTGACCAAGTTCAAAGTGTTTTATTTCTGTTTATGATACGTACTTCGTTTAATATGTAATTTGGGTAATGTGCAAAATGATTTCTTTCTATTTTGATTGTAACGTAAAAATGAAGAATTCATGATCGTTGTCCATGCCACGTGCCATGATTTAAAAAAATATATAAATCACCATGCTAAATTGTCCGTATTGTCTTGTATGTCTGATTTGTAAGTGTCCTTGCTTCATAATGTGATGCTATCGAAGTATGTCATCAAGACATATTGTTAAAAATGAGACAACCATGTAAAACTTCTGGTTTTTTAGAAATAGCATAGAAGAGTTAGAAATAGCATAGAAGTGGTTGATTCTTATTTTATGCTGCACAATTGGTATGTGATATGATGTTGGGCAACCTAGAAACCAAGATAGGACTATTTTCTGGGGAACTTATGGGAGAGACAAATTTGATAATAAATTGGAGAATGAGAGAACTGAAGGAAGTACTAGAAAGTGGGAAAAGAAATAAATAAAAGCCGACTAGTATCACTTATCCATCGCTAATAAGAAAAGTTGCACTCCATGAAATAGGGAGTCACTCAAGATAGCGCAGTTTCTATAACACAGTTCATCCAAGGACTCTTTTATATTCCCTGTTCCATCAGCCAATCTTTCTTTGGATCAAACCTTAAATGTCTTGGTCCTTTTAATTAGTTTTCCTATTGCACCTCACATGAAGACCATATTAGAGACAATGGAGTTGATTGAATTTGTTATTGTTACACACATTGATTGCTAAATTTTGTGTAAGCTATGAGATACTAGTTACAGATTTTCTTCACCCAATCTTGCTCTGTTTGGATGCAAACCCAGCTTGCTATGACCCCTGAAACTAGGTTTTAATTGAACCTTAAGCAAAAACATTGCTTTGTTTGAGGTTGTTGTCAGGGCTTGAGTCATTTGAATGTGACCTACATCATAGCTAGTACATGGGAAACAATTCTAGGTGGAAATAGTATTTAAGGAAAGTGCAATTCTGAACTATCAGGTTATAAGCCTTACAAATGATTCTAGGATTAAAACTGTTGCAAGTTACAATGATTCATTCAGATAAACTCCATATTAGGACATTATATTTATACATACCGATGACTTGATTCTGACACAAACCAAAGCAGGATCATCCAAACTGATAGTGTTGAAGTGACCTGTAGTTTCAACAATTTGGACTCTTTCGTTGGACCTATAAACTTTGAATATGATTGATGCACAATGGCATGGCACCTTCGTATTGAGGAATGCTGTGATGTGCTTATGGTGTATTGTCAGTTGATTTGGTTTAAGAGGGTGTTATACACGGCGAAAGGCCAAGACATACGTGTCTTTTGTGGTAGTATTTTCTGAATTATTATTGGTGAGTTGGAATAATGCCTTCACAAGCATCAAACGCATTTATTAAGGCCTAATTGCATTTAGTTTTCGTTATTTTGGTTAGTTTGGCTTTTCTCACTTTTTTAGGTGTTGCCTTTTTTTTATTTTTTCCCAATGAAAGACTATTGATCATAGGTGGCTAATGTAACTTTGGTGAGTTGTGAATGCTATGAATTAATTTTATTTAGTGTGGACAATTTGAGGAAAAGAAAAAAGATTGCCTTGAGTTATTTATTAACCAATAAAAATAATATGTTAGGGTCTCCATAGAGGAAATGTGGAGAGTTTTGAGAAAAAAACTGAGCATTAGTTAGATAATTTGATGTAATTAATGACATGCGCGATGGAATGGTGACTAGTGTGAGAACCGTAAAGGGAAGAAATAAGTATATTTCCAATAAAAATAGCTTTATGTCAAGGATGAACACCATGTCCTTATTAGGATGATATTCCTTTGTGTATATTATTTGTGGACGATATAATTTTAGTTCATGAAACAAGAAAGTTTTAAAGTTGAAATTGTGGAGATATACTTTAAAATATATCGGGTTTAGGTTAAATAGGATTAAGAAAAAATATGTGGAGTGTACCTTAAGCAAAATGAGAATATTGAGATGAATGAGCGGTGTTAAAAGAAAAGATAAAAGAAGGAATGAGAATCTGTTGTGAAGAAGTCACAAGCGATTCCATTTGAAAATAAGATGATGGAAAACTGCTTGAGATAATATTATTGGATGAGAGTAAAGTATTCTGTTTTCTGCACAACCAAAAAAACAAAAAAAACAAAAAAAAACATTTTCTAGTCTTTTTTCCATTGGATTTAGAGGGCCCTATTGAATCTGTTTGTGCTAATTCTTTTTTAGTTTTCTGCAGTTCATGTAAGTAGAAAAAGCACAAAGATTATCCCGAAAGAAACACACTGATAAACAATAGAAGTGACATTTGCGATTGAAATGTAATCTAAATGCGATGGATCAAAATTATTGTAGATGTATGAAAGTTGAAAAGGGATGGAGAGGGGCGAGACTTGAGCCCATCATCAAGCATGGTAAGGGATGATTGGGATTGGGTCTGGCGCATCCATGCTAGCCCTAGAATAACCCACTTTCTTTGGTTATGCCTTCATCAGCGCATCATCACCAAATCCCTACTCTTCTGTCGAAACATCACCTCGGATGATACTTGCCCCCTTTGTTTGCTTGCTCCCGAAACCACTTGCCATATCCTTAGAGATTGCCCAAGCTCACAAGATCACTGGAACTCCATTGGGATTCCTCCACTTCTCAAGGACTCTTTCAACCTTGCCTTCACTGATTGGGTCCGCACAAATTGTCAATCCGCAGTTCTCCATTCCACCAATGTTGCTTGGTCCATTATTTTCCCAATCACTTGTTGGTCCCTTTGGAAAGCTAGAAATTCTCACTGTTTCTCCCCAAACAACCCTACCCCTTTTAACCCTTCACTTATCACTTCCTTGGCCCTTGAATGGCAGCATACCTCCACCCTATTCCAACCTACCAGATCAAAATCCACCCATTTTATCTCTTGGCACCCTCCTTATCTTTGCAATTACAAACTGAACACTGATGGTTCAGCCAAGGGCTGTCCGGGGCCTGCTTCTGGTGGAGGAATTATCCGAGATAAATGGGGCCAATGGGTTACTGGATTTTGCAGAAACATAGGAACTGCTTCAAGTCTAGAAGCCGAATTTTGGGCACTCCGTGATGGCCTAAATTTGGCGTTCGATAAAGGTTACAGAAACATTGAAGTGGAAACCGACTCTTTGCTTGTCAAACAACTCATCATGGGTAGTAAAAATGCTAACCATCACTTGAGTAATTTAATCCATGACTGCAGGTTCCTGTTACAGCAGCTGGGAGTCCAAGTGATTAATCATATCTACCGCGAAGGAAACAGCTGCGCGGATATTCTAGCAAATCAAGCCTCTCCCACAACTGATACCTTACATATTTTTGATTTTGCTCCACCATGTATTGCTAATCAATTGTATGATGATGCTCGCGGGATTAGTTATCCCAGAACTTTGTACTGTCCTACTTAATTTATTTTAGTTCCTGTTTACCAAAAAAAAATAAAAAAATAAATCTATAAATAGAAAATGAAAAAAAAAATAAATAAAACATAGAAGTGAAGAAGTATCCTGGAAACAGCCTGGGTGGGACGTGTATAGTAACTAAAGAAATAAATAAATATATATAGATACGAGGCATGTGGACTGACATTGTCTTCAATGATGCGTGTGAACCAATTGGTGGTGAGCTTTCTCGAACCTAACACTTTGGAATCATTCTTAGTACGCCAACCCATTTGAATTGTCCTCCTCTCTCTCTCTCATCAACTCTACGCGTTCTTGTTTTTCTTCTTTGTTCATATATACCAAGAAAATCAACGTAGACTTTCAATATCTCACCTCGTCTCACCATTTCTCTAAGCAACCTCTCTTCTTTCCTCCATTCTCAAACAAACCCAGAAAACCAAAATCATTGCTGTTCTATCTAGCATGCCTCACCGATTGGTCTCTGTTCTCATATTTGTTTCTCTGTTTCTCTCCCCCGTCTTCGCCATTCGATTGTTTCCCGAGAAAGTGACAGAAAATTTGAGTTTCCATGACGGATTTCAATTTAATGAAGCACCCGTATATAGAAATGGACCCGAATGTCAAATTCCAGTATCGAACAACTCATCATCGACCTGTGCTTCGTTTCTCGTTCACATCGCAATGACACTCGATGCTAAGTACTTGAGAGGTTCCATGGCCGCGATTTACTCTGTTCTCAAGCACACATCGTGCCCAGAAAACGTTTACTTCCATTTCGTCGCCTCCGATTCCAACACCCCCAATCCCACCGAATTGACCCAAATCGTCAAATCCACATTCCCATCTCTACCCTTCAAGGTTTACTCATTCAACGAAGGAGTCGTGAAAAGTTTGATCTCGTCTTCAATCAGACAAGCTCTCGACAACCCATTGAACTACGCGAGATCATACATAGCTGACATTATCGAACCCTGCGTAAACCGCGTGATCTATCTAGACTCCGATATCATCGTTGTTGACGACATTCAGAAGCTCTGGTCCATCGCTTTAACTGGGTCAAGAGTAATCGGAGCTCCAGAGTACTGCCATTCGAATTTCAAGAAATACTTCACCGATGAGTTCTGGTTTGATTCGAAGTTGTCAATGGCGTTTGAAGGGAAGAGACCGTGTTATTTTAACACGGGTGTGATGGTGATGGATTTGGGGAGGTGGAGAGAAGGGAATTACAAGGTGAGGATAGAGAAATGGATGGAGGTACAGAAAGAGAAGAGAATATATGAATTGGGTTCATTGCCACCATTTTTGCTAGTGTTTGGTGGAGATGTTGAGTCAATTGATCATAGATGGAACCAACATGGGCTTGGTGGGCACAATGTGGTGAGTAGTTGCAGGAATTTGCATCCGGGTCCGGTTAGTCTTTTGCATTGGAGTGGAAAAGGGAAGCCATGGGCGAGGCTCGATGCCGGATCTCCATGCTTAGTTGATCATCTATGGGCACGTTATGATCTCCATAGAACCCATTTCCAACGTCATGAACAGCTGTAGACGATTGATAATTTTTTCATTCTTTTTCCTACCTCATTCTTGAGGATTCATTTGTATATATCTATACAGATTACAAACTGAGTTATACAGCATTTGCGGCCTCTAAAACATTTTTCTTGTAATGATTATTGTCTTATTTCTTTGAGATTTAGGAATGCTATTTTTTACAAAAACACATTGAACAAAGAAGAGGATTTTCTTGGGAAAAAAACTACAACACATTGTGGGGACCGTTAACTTCGTTAAATCAATCGTAGTCACTATCTTATCTTATAATTTAATTTGCAATGTATGCTAACCAAAACAACAAAGATGATTTATTTACTATATTCACGCTGCTTCTAGCTATTCAAATTTTTTGTTAATGGGGGTCAATATTTCCATTGATTTCAGTTTGTAAATAAATAAATAACAATAATAATAATAATATGACAATGTCATTTTTGTAATTGAAACTTATCATCTTTGTATGTATTTTCTATTTGTCTATTACTATACTCAGTTCATGACAAAAAAAAACTCATAAATTAACATTAGACATTGGATGGCAAAGCCCTTTTTCTCGTCAATATTATGCTTCTCAATCCCCATCTATGAGAGCAAATACAAGGACTAGAAGACCTCCATCCAGGTCCATCTTCCTTCAAGCTTCAAAAGACATTGTCATGGCCGAAGGTGACTATTACATTGAGTGTGAAGATCTATATAACACTTAGTTTAGTTTTCATGCTTCAAAAACCCTTGCTAGATTCATTCCCAATGTTTCTACAGTCCTAGATTAGGAAGAAATACAGAGAGGCCTAATCCTCAGCAGCCTACAAGGCTACAATACTCTCCTCCCCTAGTAGAAAAAAATTTCAATTTAACGGTAATACTATGTCATTAGTATCACCGTTCAAAAATATCTCAGCATTTACTAAAATGTATAGTTTCTTTTTAAAAACACAATTGCCATCCATTTTTTAAGTAAAAAAAAACGATAAATTGAACAATTTATAGTTACCATGCCAATCTAATTTTTTGTATGGATGGAATACATGAAATGCCTGATAAAATAAACGGGTTTAAATTATTGAAATGAAACTGCAGTAGGCCACATTGGCCCAAACAGCACCCTCCACTATAGATTTTAGACTGAAGGGGAATTGTCTCCAATTACATAACACTGCACCATTATCCCAAGCCTAGTTGGCAGCCCTTTCATCAGACAAGCTCTTGGCGACACATTGAACTACGCGAGAACATTCTTCACTGACATACTTGAACCCTGCATAAACCGTGTGATCTATCTAGACTCCGATATGATCATTGTTGACGACATTCAGAAGCTCTGATCCCTCTCTTTAACTGGGTCAAGAATAATCGGAGCTCCTGAGTTTTGCCGTACTAATTTCACCAAGTACTTCACCGATGAGTTTAGTATTGATGCGAAGTTGTCAATGGTGTTTGAAGGAAAGAGACTGTGTTATTTTAACACGGGTGTGATGGTGATGTATTTGGCGAGGTGGAGAAGGGAATTACAAGTTCAAGATAGAGAAATGGATGGAGATACAGAAAGACGAAGATATATGAATTGGGTTCATTGCCGCCATTTTTGCTAGTGTTTGGTATAGATGGAACCAACAAGTGCTTGGTGGGCATAATGTGGTGTATAGTTGCAGGAATTTGCATCTGGGTCTGGTTAGTCTTTTGCATTGGAGTGGAAAAGGGAAGCCATGGGTGAATTGGTGTGGCAAAGGGAAGCCATGGGTGAGTCTCGATGCCAAATCTCCATGCACAGTTGATCATATATGGGCACCTTATGATCTCCACAGAACCCATTCCCAACATCATGAACAGTTGTAACAATGGTCAACGAAAACGATTTATATTTTTTCATCTACCTCATTACAGAGGATTGATTTGTATATATATACAACTGAGTTATATAGCATTTGTGGCCTCTAAGCATTTTTTTTGTAATGATTCTCTTGAGAACAAATACAATGTAATTATTTGATTATTATTGTCTTTAATTCTTTGTAATGGAATGCCATTTTTTTATTTTTTATTTTTAACGAAAACAATTGGACAAAGAAGAGGAATATATTGGGGAGAAAACTATTACACGTGGTGGGCACTGTTAACTTCATTAGATCAATTTTTTTTATTTATTTAAAATTTGTAATGTATGCTAAACAGCTTGAGTTAGCTGTGCAATCAACCAAACAACAAAGACGATTTATTTAATACATTTCCATTGATTCGAGCCGGGGCAATTGCCCACCCAGTTTATATTCTGCTAGATGATTACATGATTTATTAAAACGAAAAGGAAACCAATGAGATGATTGCACATTTTAAGTTTATTTTTCTCAATAAAAGTAAAAGTAACGAACATAAATAGAAAATTTGAAAAGAAAATTCACAACAAAAGAATATACACCCTCTTTACTGCTCACTTACAACAAGCCGACAACACAACTTAGATGCAATCTGTTCTCCAAGCCTCTCAAGTGATGACCCAATAACATACACCTGCCAATGTCATCAAAGGAACATCTTAATTCTGCACTTCCACGAAAATAATAATAATAATAATAATAATAATAATAATAAATAAATGATTTGATCCATCGGAGCAATAGAATTAGCAATGCTTAAAAACAGGGTGGAATTACGATTAGGTATGAATAACTTGTTTCTAGTAATGCCTGTGTGATAAGTGATGAAGAAACACCGACTACAAAATACTAACCAGAAAAGAAGCTTTGCTAGGTAATTCCGTGAAGTGCCTATGGTATTGCAACACTCATCATCACCGTTTTGTAAGTTCTCGACATTCCTTATAGCAGAATCTCCCACAAAATCAGAGCTAAAATCATCTTTAAAGAATTTCCTTAATATGTTTTGAACAAGTTGGTGAATAATTTCCTCAACCTCTAAAGATGATGGTTGTGCTAGTTCAATCACCTGTTGAAACAAATGGCATATGCTAAGGAACCCAATTCAAGCATAGAAGCACTATATTGCATGGGGGGAAAAAATCCAGGTGGGTACCATATCAGATTCCAAGGACTGCAAATACTCCAATAAATCATTGTTGCTTTCTCTAATATATTCCATTTGCACATTTTCCTGCTTCCTGGCATTCAGCTCCTGCAACAACATTTGCAAATCAGTTTAGAATGGATAACTTTTAGCACTTTTAAAAATCAGATGATTAGAGCTGACGAGTATCAAATATTACTTCATGAGTAGTAGATCAATATTTAGAGATTTGAATATCATGATGAAACCAATTTATAAAAGTCTGTCTATAAGAGCAAGAACAATTATAAAGCACATAATTACAAATGTTACGGCTGTGTAGTTGGACATCAAAAAATGTAACTGATTGAGAATAGATTGAGGTATCTCTTAGAGCATCTCCAACGTCTACTCTCTTTTCTTTTTTTTATATCAAATTTGAGTAAAAGTTTCATCTGATATTGCACGTTCCAACGGAATAATTTGAAATTTCATCAAACCACCGGTCGATCGATCAGGAGGACGACCCGGGATGTCCGGCCAGTCGGCCAGCCAGTGTAAACTTTTGTTTCAGTTATAGACAATTTTGCAAGGAGGTGGTCAAGTAGCCGGTCATCCCGTGCTCAAGCATTGTCCAACAACCACTTGTAAAGCTAATGGCTATCTACAATAATTTGGTGAAAGGTTCCAGCATCCTCAATTTGATAAAAAATTTGAGATATCCTCAATTTGATACTGATTTGATGTTAACGTTGGAGCATCAGTTTTGTACGTTTTTCATCAAATTTAAATTGATGAAACAAAAGATGAAGTTTTGGAGACACTCTTAGATAGGGTTTCTAAACAAAAGGTTCCAGGTCATGCATTTGGGGAGAATATTTCATTTTATCATCCCTGAATGTAGTAACATGTCAATTTTGAAATCAAATTTATCCGAGGGACAAAGAGAAAGTAAAAACTTCACCTTCTTAGCTGTAGACAGTTCTGATTCCAGCTGCTGAATGTAGTTCAGAGCCTCGGGAGACAAATCCCCAAATCTCCCAAGGTTAAAATTTTCTAAATCTTCAGCACAACGATCAACCTCAACCACACCATCCTCACTCTTCATTTCCGAAATTTCATTTTCCCCCGGAAATCCAGACCTTTTCCAACTATCTATCGATCTATCAAAATTCCGCATCAATGAAATCCGGTACTCTGCATTCCACAGAGTATACCTATAACAAAGCTCCAAGCAAAAGCAAATCAATTACAATTATACATATCTATCTGTCTATATAATGAAGTAGCACAAGTGATTATTACCCTGTCATTATCGAAGAAGTGAGCAAGCCATCCAGAGGGCTTTTCGAAACCCTAACCGTGACGGAGAATTGATCCGATGGGAGCAACCCTAGCATTGTGGAGATGGTCTGCTTCATGGAATCCTTGGCGGCATCAGAAACGCCCTTGGAAATAACGGAAGTGTCCAGGAGTTCAATTTTCTTCAGCATAGTAGCAATTACAAAAAATTCTCGATCGAAACCAGACATCCTCGTTGAGACGAAGTCGTCAGAGACTCCACCTCCGTCGACGCCGGAGACAAGGCAGCTGACGACGGTGGAGGGGAGCCTCCTGGTGGCGAGCAACGGTCGGATGAGGCGGTGGTGGTGGGAGAAGGGAGGCGGTGGTGGTTGGAGGGGTTTGAGTGACACGTCGGTGACGCGAGAGATCAAGAAGGCTCTAGCAAAAGCCGCCATAAAACAGCAGAGAATCTTGAGGAGCTCTCTCTCTCTGATGTGGCTCCGTGAAGAGGCTCTGCCTTCAGCCCACCAATATTTTTGTTGGTTTTGTTTGGTTACGAAGTGGTGAAGGGTATGCCCTCGTTGTTGATCGAAATTACGGAGTCGCCACTGATATGCAGAAATGGTTGTTGTGGAGATTTGAACGATTGGGTCGGACAACGACGTGAGGGATCCGATTTGCCGCCAATGGTTAGCGTGGCACGGTTTTATTGGCATACATTTCTTGACCTTCGCGCGTGTTGACGTTGTTGCAAGTTATAACGTGTGAATCAAAGTGGCATGGCGATCGCGGCTTTTTTAATGCAATTTGAAACATGTGGCGCACACGTCTTACACGCTAATTACTCTGTGAGATATTTTACGAATCGAAAAAGCTAGGGACTCCAAATTTTGGACCCGAAATGTATATTGAAATGGGAATTGAGGTGGTTGTTGTGCGGGAGTACATAATAGTATTTTTGCGTAGTTAATTGGGTTTTTTTTGAGATTTATTTTGATAATTTAAATTGTTCATATTTCAGAATGCATCAAGTAGAATATACTTGTAAAAAATAGAATTGAGGTGGTTGCTATGCAGGGGTGCACAGCAGTCACTGTTATGCAGCCAATTGGGCCTTTTTCGGGGTCTATTTTGATAATCCAAACCGTTCACATTTCAGAATACATCAAGTAGAACATACCTGTTAAAAATCAAGTTAATCGGATATCGCTTACCCATTCATCCACTCACATTTGTATTCAGTTTAATACTTTAAATTACAATTGTTATTTGTGAGTAGATGAATGGATAAACGATATCCGATTAACTTGATTTTTTACGGAATTGGGGTGACTGCTGTGCGGGGGTGCACAGCAGCCACTGCTGTGCAGCCAATTGGGCTCTTTTCGGGACCCATTTTGATAATCCAAACCGTTCACATTTCATAATACATCAAGTAGAACATACCTGTAAAAAATCAAGTTAATCGGATATCATTTACCCATTCATCCACTCACATTTGTATTCAGTTTAATACTTTAAATTACAATTGTTATTTGTGAGTGGATGAATGGATAAACGATATCCGATTAACTTGATTTTTTACAGGTATGTTCTACTTGATGTATTCTGAAATGTGAACGGTTTGAATTATCAAAATGGATCCTGAAAAGGGCCCAATTGACTGCACAGCAGTGGCTGCTGTGCACCCCCAATTCCATTGAAATGGGTTTAAATGGTAGCAATTGAAGTGATGGAATCTGAGATTCACACATGAAATAAATTTAAGTTATAACTTTTAAATTTTTATATTTAACTTCATAACATTACTGTTTTATGGATTCTTATTAAATTATAGAAGAAAAGAGTGATATGATAAGAAAAAAAAATATTAATGTGTTACAATGATATTGTTTAATATAGAAATTGACATAAAAATTATTTTAAAAAATCAAAATATATTAATTTTAATAAAAAAATATTAAATTTAATAAAAATATATCATGTGTTTTATAAATAAATAAAAAAACAAAATTATTTCTTACAAGCACTTATTAGTGAAAGCATTAAAAAAAATATTTTAAAAAATTTCCTTGATTTCAAAATGAACTTCTGTTGGAGGATCGGGCTTAAATCAAAGTGAAAAACTATTTTTCAACAAAATTAAAAATCATATGGTAGACCAACCATGAAATCTTGGTAATGACTCCTATGAACCACACATATCTTTGCGACGTTGACTCCAAACTAGTCGATTGCTACTATGCCAACAGAGTATCCAAAGAGCCCGATTGAGAATTAGAGATGGCAATTGGAACCCGGCCCGACGAGGACCCGATCCCCCGACCCCGAATTGAGTGGTGATTCCCCAAAAAATACCCCCGACGGGCCGGGGATGGTATTAAAAATTAAATCCCCGATGATATACGGGCCGGGGATGGGGATACATGTTTCAGCCCCGGCCCCGCCCCGACCCCGGCCCCGATCCCGGCCCCGATCCCCGCCCCGTTTTCCCCGATATAAAATTACTATTTTGCCCTTATATATATATAACATATATAGGGTATATATATAATATATAGGGTTTGGTTGAACCGCAGCCTCTTCTCCTCCCTTTTATCTTCCTCTCTCTGTCATCTTTCTCTCTCTTCTACTCTCACTCTCGTACTTCTCCGCGACGCCGATCGCCTACTCCGTCGTCCTCTTCCGTCGTTCGTCCTCCTCCGACGCCGATCGCCTACTCCGTCGTTCGTCCTCATCCGACGCCGATCGTCCTCCTCCGTCGTTCTCCTCCGCCGATCGTCCTCATCCGTCGTCCTCCTCCCCCGATCGTCCTCCACCGACACAGATCTTGTTTTGAAACAGATTTTGTGTGGAGGGTTTGTATGAAATACCATTAACCAAACCAAACCTCAGCCTCTGTTTGTGTATGTAATTTTTTTTTTTTTATCTGGGTTTGTATGTGTATGTATGTATATAATTTTTTTTTTTAATTTTTTTTGAACGAATACAGATATGTTTGTGTATGTAATTTATTTATTTTTTTGAACGAATACAGATCTCTGTAACAGATCTGTAAGTGAATTTTTTTATTTTTTTTGAACGAATTTTTTTTGTGTGGAGGGTTTGTACGAAATACCATAACAAAACAAATTTGTTATTTATTTTTTTTTTTATCTGTTATTGATTTTTTGATCAAGTGGTGGTGATGTTGTTTTTTGATCTGTTGATGAGGATCGGGGAATTTCGGGGTCGGGGAAACCCGATCCCCGTTGGGGACGGGGATGGGGACTGTGATTGGTTCCCCGTCGGGGATCGGGACCGGGGACGGGAAAGTTTTGGCCATCGGGGATCGGGGACGGGGAGGGTGATCCCCGGCCCCGCCCCGCCCCGTTGCCATTCCTATTTACTAAAGTTTAATGTTGAAAGTGGATGATGTCTGAAAATTGAGATAATTATGTTAATTTTGACATATTTGTTCTTTTTTTTTTGTTACTCTGTTTTTAATGAATTTATCCAGAAAAACACAAATAAAGATAAGAACTCATTTGGGATGTAAGTTTTTTTTTTTTTTTTTTTGATCGAGAAAAGCTGCAACAACAAAAAAAAGAGCTAAAGGCATCCAACTAAAGCCACAAGAGGCTGGGATACCCAATCAACAGGCAAAGCATTTCGCAAACAAGCTGAGGCCACACAATGAGCAGCTCTGTTCTGGATTCGGGGGCACCATTTGAAAGTCAAATTCCCGCTGCTAGCCATGCACCGAATATCATTCATCACAGGACAAATTTCCCACGGAGGGACCCCTTCAAACACACAAAGCTGAATGAGAGTTTTACAGTCACTTTCCACCTCCACAGTGGCACCATGGAGAGCTCGGGCCATAGAACATGCAAGTCTCACAGCACATGCCTCACCTTGCAAAGCAGTTGTCATTCGAAGTGATGCCGCAATGCCATCCACCAACTTGCCCGTATCATCCCTAAGGAGAACGGCAACAGCTCATCTCCCTCTTAACAAATCAGTTGCCGAATCACAATTGATTTTCCAAATCCCATTCGGGGGAGGAACCTAATGCTGCACTGGACACGGTGCCCCTGCGAGAGTTGCCGGAGATGTTGAGGCGTCCTCACAAGCTACCAAAAACTCAGCTTCCACCCTTTTAGCTGTAGCAATTACTCCAATAGGATCCATTGGGACGTGATTGAAGATGAATTCATTTCGTGCCTTCCAAATGCACCAAGCCAACCAAACCATAGAGCACAGTGATTCTCGGCCCCCACAAGCAGTACCCAGTGATGTAATTAGCTTGCCCAAACAAGTCCGAATAGGTCCCAAAGCAATGTCGTCACACCGAAAGCCCATCCCGCTGCCAAACCAGACCCTTTTAACCCATTCACATCCAAATAAAAGGTGTTCAATTGTCTCTACCTCTGATAAACAAATAGGACAGACCGCCGAGTGAGCACACCGCTTACGCCACAGATTTTGTTTGGTTGCCAAAGCATTATGATAAATCCGCCAAACAAAATGTTTAAGTTTGGGAGGCACATTTAAATTCCATACTAACTTCCAAATCTTCGCCGACCAATCTGCGGACGAACCAGGAAAATTACATTGAATATGCGCTTGCTTCACTGCTTCTTGGTACCCCGATTTCACAGTATAGCAGCCCCTTACATCATGGTGCCACGCCAAAGAATCATTACCTTCCTTTAACGCTACCGGAATAGAGAGGATGGCTTCACAGTCTATATTAGAAACTAGAGTTCGGAGTTGAGTTTCATCCCATGTGTGTCTAACAGGATCAATCACCTCATGGACCATTTGCCCCATTGTTCCAGAAGGCCTGGCACTGTGCACCTTAAATCCCGGGTTGGAAGGAATCCATCTATCCTCCCAAAAATGAATTGAGCGGCCATTCAAAACCTGTCATCGAAGCCCTCCATTAAGGATTTCCCTGCCCTGAAGCAAACTTACCCAAGCCCATGATGGTCGCAGACCCCGAGAAGCATGACAAAAATTTGTATGGGGGTAATAAATGCCCTTCATAATTTGTGCAAATAAAGAATTTGGATACTTGACTAATCTCCATCCTTGGCGGGCAAGGGGTGCTCTGTTAAAGGCCCGAAAATCCCTGAATCCCAAACCACCATTATTTTTGTTCAAACACAACCGACTCCAGCTGCACCAATGAATACCCCCCTCCTCCGGATCCCCTTTTCCACCAGAAATGACGGATATAAGAGCTTAGTTTATCACACAGTTTGTTAGGAAATAGGAAACACGCCATTGCATACGTAGGCAGAGCCTGGGCCACAGCTTTAATTAGGACTTCTCGACCGGCTTGGGAGAGCAACTTGGCCTTCCACCCTTGCAACTTGGATAGCACTTTTCATAAAGAAAATTGAATGCTTCCGCCTTTGAACGACCCCAACAAGAAGGTAGCCCCAAATATTTCGCAGTGGCCTTTATTCTTGGGATCCCTAAGAACTCACAAATCTCCATTTGCCGAGAGGGGGAGATGTTGCCAGAAAATTGCACCCCCGACTTATCAAAATTCACAGATTGTCCTGAAGCATCCCCATAAAGTTGTAGCAACCTTTCGACCTCCTTAGACTCATCAGTTGTGGCCTTAAAAAATAACACTGCATCATCCGCAAAAAACAAATGCGAGAGGATGGGGCAGGCCCGCCGAATTCTTAGGCCAGACAGCCTACCCTCTTGCACACTACGGGCAATCATCTTGGAGAAAACATCCATAACAAGAATGAACAAATAGGGA